ATCCCACCCTCCCACCCGCACCGTTTTGGCAAACCTGGTCTGTTGTAGTGACGCGAGGATCCTTGGAGTTGTGGGGTGGCCGGAAGTGGTGACTGTACAAGACTGTTGGGCTGACGACGGCGTCGAACAATCTTGTATAGGCTTCCAACAACCCCGCTCACAGTAGCGCAGTTGGAGAGACTCGATGGAGTACAACGGAACATGATGAGACGCATTGTGGGCTGGGTGAGACACGATGAGGAGGACTGGCATACCACAGAGTATCGCATGAAATAAATATTGAATTCCGCGTGGGACAGCACTCGCGTGGCGGTCTGGAGCTAGGCGCGAGGCAAGCAAAGGCAAAGACTGATCGAGAAGGTCGCAAAGCAGCTGGCAGGCATCGTCTGTCGCGTGTATCATTGGTCGATTCGGCCAACAGTGCCTGGTCAAGTGGCCTACAGGAGGCCGGGTCGCTCGGCGTGCCGGTGGACGGATGGCATCTGAGTGACAGCATTCGCGGGCGCGCGCGTGGGTGTGTTGTGGCGTTGCGGCTTGTTGTGTTGTGTTGTGTTGTGTTGTGTTGTGTTGTGTTGTGTTGTGTTGTGTTGTGTTGTTGTTTTTGTTGTGCTGTTCTGTGTTGGGGTGGGGTGTGGTGCGTGTGTTGTGGGAATGTTTGTGTGTTTCAGGATACCCGTGCGTGCTATTTCCCTCCCGTGTCCAGTGCAGGACCGGCCTTGTGGCCGTGCGGGATCTGCCCTGCTCTGCTCTGGAAGTGGTGACGCAATGGACCCTCTGGAGGAGTGGCAGAATGGCTGCCATTTGTGGGAGGAGGAGAGGAGGAGGAGGAGGAGGAGGAGGAGGAGGAGGAGGAGGAGGAGGAGCAGGAGGAGGAGGAGGGGGAGGAGGAGGAGGAGGAGGAGGAGGAGGAGGAGGAGGAGGAGGGAGGAGGGGAGGAGGGGGATGATGATGATAATGATGATGATGATGAGGAGGAGGAGGAGGAAGAGGAGGAGGGGAAGAGTGAGAAGGATGGGAGGAGGCAAACACGAACCCGTAGGAGGAGGCAAAGAAGAGGAGGAGGAGGAGGAGGAGGAGGAGGAGGAGCGGTGCATGCTCTGGCAAGCCAGAGCCCCCGTCCAGGACGCGAGGAGTAACAATGTTCCTCCAATGGCCCGGGCGGTCTCGCGCGGCCTCGCGGAGCGTGGCACTGAACCGCCATGGCCTCCCTGGAGGACGGGTCTACGCTGAAGTCGGGCCTGTCCCCCTACAGCGGGATTTTCGACGAAAAATACTCTTAACATTTTCCAAAATGGCAAGGAGCACTCAAAAAATAGTCCCCAGACTATTTTGTGACTTTCTTTGAATATTCCTCCTGTAGAGGGACAGGCCCGACTTAAGTTTGCGCTGGCGAGACTGGTGGCGTGGGGAGGGGCGGGCTCTCCGAGAAAGAACACTGCTTCCGATGGCCGGCGCGGCCTGGCGCGGCGTCTCTGGAGGGGCGGACGGTCCTGTTGGGACTGGCTGGGGGCCACATTCGAACCCTACCCCTACCCCCCACGACTTCTGAGGGGTGGGGTGGGGTTCACTTCGTTGGGGAGCTCTCGAGCGAAGTAAACCCCACCCTCCCCCTCAGAAATCGTGGGGGGTAGGGGCAGGGTTCGCATGTGGCCCCCTACTGGCTGAGTGGGGAGGGGCACGACCCCCGAGAAAGCAGCTGTGCTTCCGGTGGCCCGCGCGGGCTGGCGCGACCTCCCTGGAGACGCAGACGGTGCTGGTGAGACTGGCGCGTCGTGGAATTGCCGGAACTGGCACGCGGCTCCTCCTGCCGGGCGTCTGTTGACCTGGGTCAATACAGACCCGGGTCGGTCAGGCTCTGCAGGATTCTGCAGGGGCCTGCAGGGGCCTGCAGGATCCTGCGCGCCAGCTTGGGTCAATGCTCCCTGGCTTTGCCGGATGCTGCAAGATCCGGCGCTCTGGCTGCCCCCCGTTTGCATTGACCCCCGTCTCAAGGCTCCCGACCCTGTGGAGTCGTAGAGTAGAACGACCGGCACTCGTGCGAGGAGGTGGAGTCGTGGAGTGGCCGGAACTCGCAGGAGGACGCAGAGTGGGACTCGCAGGCGGCGCAACGAGGAAGACGAGTGGATGCTCTGAGAAAACAAGAGCCCCACTCCTGATTGTTGGAGGCAGCGATACTCCAGATCTCGTAATAAAAGGGAGGGGGTCTGGACCCTCCAAGACGAGCCATTTCAGACCCCCCCTGTGGGAGAACCCTCCAAAACATCGTCCCCAGACCTCCCCAGGCCCTCCAAGATAGCCTGGAAGAGACCCCCCCGAAATGAGACCCCCCTCCCTTTATTACAAAATCTGGAGTACTCACCCAGCGAACAAAACACTCAGCCTCCGCGGGGGGGTGAGCCGACAAGGGGAGCACACCCCCGCACACACAAACAGGGGACGACCCCCGCCCGCGCGCTGGAAGAGGAGCCCTCTCCCCCCCCCGCTTTCCGATCTCTGTCCT